GCCCGGGGGGCGGGCGGGGGGGGGGAGAGAGGCGTTGTTTGATTTGGCGCTTAGACCTGGGGAATCTGTATGGGTGGGGAAGGGCTTCTGCGAGTCAGCCCGAGTTCTGCACGTAGGGAGATCGAGGCGAAAACAACGACCCCCAAGAAGAAAGGGCTGCTGCGCTTTGTCTTTCTGGGGAGCCGAAGAGGGAGAGGAGAAATCCCGTTTCTTAAACCCGGTGGCGCACAAAAAGAACGGCTCGGGTATGGGAGCGGAGGTGGGCGGTGCGGGCGAGATCGTCCTTGGTTAGAGAGCTCGGCTCCTCCCCCCTTATTATTAATATTTTCCTATTAATATGTAAGGAGAAGCAGGATGAATGGGTGTAGCAGGGGGAGAGCAGCTCAATCTGTGAGGCTCTCCTTGCATATCTTGATTCTTATTGATGTGTTCTTATTGAAGTCAGGGTTGCCAGCATTCAGGGGAGGTCTGGAGGGCTAGAATTGCAGCTCATCTCCAGACCCCTTTCCCCTGGAGTAGATGGCTGCTGTGGAGTCTGGACTGTGGCATCACATCCACACAGAGGTCCCTCCCTTCCCCCAAACCCACTCCTCCCCCAAACCGCTTGGGATTTCCCAGTCCGGAGTTGGCAACCCTTTTCAGAGTGTCAGAACAAAGCCTCAACAACTGCTTATAATGATTGTCTGTGGGGTTTTTTTGACGAATGCATTATTCACCTTTTGTAAAGGATGCGAGCTTAGTGTTATCGGTAACGCATCCCCGTACTGATAACACTTGTGTGGCTGACTTGATTCAACACCCATCAAAAGATTTACAGATCGTCAGAAGTAACTGTATATTTCAGATATCCAAACGCAACTAGAGACTGATCTGATGGTGCATCATAGCCAAACTTGTCTCTAATATGGGCTCTTTCTGCACTTTCCTTTTAATCCATGTTCACTGTGGTGTCCTCCAAGCAGTTCTGCACTAAAATCGAATTCAGCCTTCTTTTTAATCCAGGTTCCCCCCCCCCATTCCGCACTAAAATCGAGTCCAAGCTTCTTTTTTTATTCCGGGTCCCCCCCCCCCAAATTCTGCCTCACATTTCCTCCCTTCAGTGGTCAGCCCAGTTTCAGCCTGCTGCTGCCCCCGGGTTATTTGGATGCTGTTTTGCCCTGGACTTAAATTGCTTCGACTCGAACACTGCGAAAATCTGGAGTGGCAGGCAAACGTGGAAAGGACCATGGAAAAATCTTAGGGAGTTTCAAAACTGTGAGGCAAGCAGCTACTGGGGAATATAGGAACTGGTACAAGAGGGAAAGCTGTTCTTCTTCCCAAGGAACAGCCAGAAGGGACTGAGGCTGCTGTGGGGAAGAAACCCTCATCCTGAGGGAAGGGTGAGTAGTCTAAGGCCACTTGAAATAGTGAGCTAGGGACAGTATATATTTAGACGCGTTAGGGCATTTGATTTCTTTTCACCCACTTACTGTTATTATTCTGTACTTTGTTTGACCACCTATAAAATAAACTATTTTCATTGTTCACTCTGCCTGGTCCTCACGCCTATTTTTCGGCCAAAAGAGAGGTCTAAAGGCCTGGGAAAGTGCTCTGGGCCTTCTCAGAGGAGCCTGGAACCAGAGTGGTGGCAGCGTCAGGTGACACCC